TTGTACGAATGTATATATATATTCAGATAATTTTTTTTTTAGGAAATATTTGGAAATGATGTACCACAGCATAAACCACATGGTTTATTGTCTGTAGAATTTAGCGGTGAACAAGAAGGTGATGGTCTGTGCTTAACATTATTGGTATCCTTCAAGTTACCATTGGAAGATGTGCCTGTAATTGGAAAATATATTTGGTACGAACTTTCTGAAAATGTAGCAGAATCTCTTGCAGCCCGTCTACCACGGAACATGACTGTCCCTTTGAAGGTCGTACGTTAATTGTATACAAATATTTTATTAAGCAATTATTTGATGAAAATGAATGGTACAAGATACAGGAGAATATAATATATACAGTAATTTTTTTACTAAAATCAAGTTTATAATGTTAACATTGTAATATCCTAGTCTACACCAATGACTTTATAACAAATATTAATACATGACAGATAACATTCTATATTCTTAACTAATATAAATAAGCTTTATATAATAATGTTATTATATTTAGCTTATATATATATAAATATATATATACTTTATGAAAAAGAAACTAAAGTATTAATCATAAAATAATATAATAATACATTGGAATCAAATTTTTCTTCTTAAAAGTAAGTAGTTTAATTTATTCCCAGTATAAATTATAAATTGTATTAAGCAATATAATAATAGTATAAAAATTTCACATATAATGAATATATGTATATTTGAAATTTAAATTTGATAATTTAAATTGTAGATCATTATGTATATATGTATAATTGTAACTATAAAAAGAAATTATTAAAAATCAAGTTTATAAATTTGTTTAAAAATTTATTATTGAACATTATATAAAAAAATAATTAGAATCGTTAGATAGATTTGAAATTTTATATTTGCATATATGCGATTAAAAGTTACAGTCTTTTATATATCTTGTTTGTGCAAATTATACTACTCAATCAATATCTGCTACATACTATGTAAAAAATTGAAAGTAAAGATAATTTATTAAAATAAAATTCAATAACAATAAGAATTAAATATAAAAATATGGCTAATAAAGATTTTAACGAGCAATTTATCACTTATTAGATATCTCAAATTGCACATATGAGCTCAAAATAAGATACAAATATATTTTTATTATTTTTATACATGTTATACTTTGTATACTCAGAGTATATAATAATAATTATAATAACTTATTTATTTAAGTCTGATATTGATTATAACATACTTGTATAAACACAAATAATTGAACAATATAGAACATGTTATTTATATAAATAAATGGTAGATATTTTTAAAATAAAAATATTGTTTCTACTCCTCTCATATCCTATTTTAGTAACTCAAAAACATCACAGATCATTATAATCATGAACCACTTGATCTTAAATAAATCTACATAAAACACGCATGTTTATAATTTTATATACATATAATAATATTATATTTAGGAAGACCATCATTTAATTACACAAAGAAAATGAAAGCTATTGCTGCCTTTGTCAGTAAAAAATTGCTTGTTTACAAGTAGAGCATTGAATGAAAAAGTACTAGGGACATTTAAAAAATCCTTAATGTGCAGGTATTGTAATTTATTACAAATCAATATCATCAAATCAAAAAATTTGTTAACAGTTCAAAAAGATCTCTTAAAACTGAAAAAATTAATTTTACATTTTGAAAAAGTCATGTAACAGATACTTTCTTATCATTAAGGCATCAAGAATTTGAGTTTTCAATTTTTTATCTAATTATTGATAGTATCAATTTGTAACAAATTATATATTCTCATCCTGCATAATAATAATAGTGTATACCTTCAACTAGAAGTAGATGTTAATCTTCCCATCGTATTTAATACAGTATCTTCTGTACTTTCATTCTTTATAGGAACCACATTACTAGTATTATGCATTAATTTAATGTCATCATTGAGCGTTAAAGATACATTATTTAAATAATTTGAAGAAGCGGTAATATTAACATCTGCAGTACTAGTATGCAATACATGCTTTTGATTGTTTTCACAATCAGTTAGATTTGTGTCTGTATTTACAGGATGTTTTTTCATATGAGTTGTTAAATTACCACTGTGATGGAACTCTTTCCCACAAATTTTACATTGAAATGGTTTAATTCCGGAATGTATTCTCTCGTGTATTGACAAGTTACCACTGTGTCTAAATTCTTTACCACACACATTACATTTGTAGGGCTTTACACCCGAATGAGTTCTTAAGTGAGTGGAAAGATTTCCACTATGGCTAAACATTTTTCCACATATCTGACAACCATATGGGCGTTCACCAGAATGCGTTCTCATATGTATAGCCAAGTTTCCACTGTGTGTAAAACACTTTTCACATTGGTTGCATTTATATGGCCTGTCTCCATTATGTGTTCTCATATGAATAAATAAATTACTTTTGTGTCCAAATTCTTTGAAGCAAATCTCACATTGACATTTTAACTTTTTTCCTGTACTAGATTCCGTAGAACTTTTGGATGGCCTTCCAAGACGATTGTTTCTTACAGTCAGCGATTGTGCTGTTAATGTTTGACTAATATTTCCTATATTCAAATCCTGTACAGATTGTGACTGTTTGTTTTCTTGAACTACGACATTACTTGTACTCAGGGAATCACACTGGTTATTTGTTTGTATTTGATTGTTGCCATCCTCTTGATCAACTGAAAGGAATATGCCATTTTGCATATATGATAAACTACCAGCTTCCTAGAACAAAAATACATAAAACTGAATATAAAAAAAACTGAATAAAATCACTTGCTAAGTTGTTAAATACATGTCACAATATTATGTAAATATTTACTTCTGCTCGGAACATAGTCTGTTGATCATGAATTTCATTTTTCGCAGGTACCTCGTTTGATAACTGCGTTTGTTCCCAAAATTGAGACAACTGACGGTGCTTATATCCAATATTTTGACTGATAAAAGGATACAAAGAACTATCTGAGCTATTAATTCTATTACTTGCGTTTACATCCTCTATGGTTGTACATTCATGCTTTATTTGTATAGGACTAAACATCTGTAAAATACAGAAAATGAATAGAATATATATCAGCGCACTACAGTGAAATGCCATGTAAATATCTCCATTTCTCTATATAATTAGAAGTAATATTCAAAGCATTAAAGTCATAATCATCATATACTAACACTTTCATTTGAAGAATTGTCAATAAGGGCCTTGGCCTGGAAAATATCAGTTGCTAAATTTCGTAATTCTAGTGAACTTGCATGTCATAATTGTTACACACTTCTTACTCAATAAACGCGATAGTATATACATACAACGAGACTTTTTGTAAGCTCACATTGCTAACAAGATCCTTAATCCCTTTGTCCCAAAGCCATTTTTTTATTAGATATCTAAACGCCACCTACATGATTCAAATGGAAGGAGTCCCAAACACAAAGTACGTTCCGAATTAGGAGCTGCGCACAATGAAAAGAATAGGGAACAACAAATAGAATAAAGAGAATAAAAATTTCAACCTATCAAGGGTGTTTTTTCGTTATCCAATCAGAAGCTACTACAACTAAGGCTATCTTCGTCTTCAGGGATCAGAAGATGAAGATAGTCTTAGCTGTGATTGTTTTTGCAACGAAAAAACATCGCTGAAATTATATATTGTGAAATACAGCATTGTTTGTTTTGTCTCTCTGGGAACTGCTCGGAGTCGCTCCAAATGATCTCAGCGTAGAACAGTGTAGAGTAAGTATAAAGAAAGTAAAGGCTTAAACACAACAGGCACAGACAATAGGCACAAACAACAGGGAATAATGAGTCCCATCAGAGTTCTGATGTGTAAGTTCGATATTATATCCCAGAGTTCTGGACAGTTCGATATTCCCTATTCTACATGCCTTAACGCCAATGCGTATGCCTAGTGCTAATTGGTTCCGCATTAGATGTCTTACTTCCGGTTAAGTCAGTTAGGTTAGGTTAGGTTAGATTAGATAGTTGTAGAGTTCAAACTCTGTGAAGTAATTATTTAATTCTATTGAAGAAGATATCAGATTAAATATAAACATTATATTTATATATAAATGTTTTCTTGTTATTATGTAATGAATAATATTATGCAAAATATTTTAATAATTTTTATATAGACATTGGTAAGATGGTAACCTGTGCAGCAGTTGGTTGGTAATAATAGATCTATGAAAGGTGTTCAAATGAATCGTTTTCCGAAAGATACTTATCGCTAAAACATATAGATAAGAAATGCCCACCTGGAAGATAAAATATTAAACAGATTTGTAGTATCAGATTCCCTAACTTTTATCATGGTGCAATTGCAAGCAATCTCAAAGGAGTTCGTTAGCAAAAAAGTTCTTGTCGAATGATAAGATCCGAGAAAGAAAGGCTGAGAAATAAAGCGAGAGAGGAACCACAGCCGACTGAATTGACAGTTTTAAGATTAAATATATAATTTTGCATAATCCAGACAAAAATAAAATCAAATAGCAATATACATGGTAACAATTTTGTTACTGGATGAAAAGGATGAAGAAATCTTTGAATCACATATGAGAATTGCACGAAGAATGCTTAGAGATATTTATTTTCAACAGGATTGACTTTGTAAATAATGGCAGGAAATCATTTAAGCCCAGTTCCATAATTCACGGTTTACTTTTAACCACTTTTAATCGAAGTTCGACTTATTCGTCATCCATTTTCAATTCTAGAATTGGAAAAAAATTAAAAATAAATTTAACTTTATGGCTTTGATATGATTTATGCTAACACATTTATGAGCATCGTTTGTCTTTGTTTAACATTTGATAAATGACAAGGATAAAATGATTTTTAAGTGCGAGCGTGAATCGAACCGCGGACTGTTTCATTTCACATTTTCACATTTTTTTCCACAAAGTCGGCAAAGTCTAATGATCGTATTTTCACTTTGTCGTTACAGAATCACACGACAAAACTCACATGAAATGAAAGTGTGAAAAGTGAGTGATCTCGAATTACAGAAGTCGACTCCCTGAAGTCAGAATTGTTACGAATGTGTATGAAAAAGAGACATAAACGTTTGCAAAACAAATATAAAAACAGAATTAAGAAATTAAAAAAAGAAGTACGCATTATTAAAAAGTTTCCTATAATTATTTGACAACTTTTGCATGAAGATCAGATACAGGTTTTAAATAACAAATATAATAAAATTCCAAAATGATGTGCAATGTTAATCAAAGCATATCATTTAAAATTTGCTTGTGGTATATCAGGATAGAGAGCTTTTGCATCAGGGCTTCCTATTTCCATCTATTAGAACGTTAAATAGAAAACTTGAAAAGTTAAAATTCTAAAGTATATTATATAAAGAATATTGTATGAAATTTAAAAAATTTTAAATATAAAAGTTTCACAATTGAATAATAGTACAAATAAAGACTGTGTAGTCGTTTTAGATGAAATAAGTATAACTCTGGATGTTCACTTAGGATGCAATCGAGTTGCCGCTATAATGCTTTAAATAGTATTTGATTGACCAATCAGAAAAAAGAATTTTACTAAATGACCAATCAAAAAATGCTTCGAAGCATTTGTAGCAACAACTCGATTGCATCTTTAGATACATCAGCATTTACCTGCATTGGAAAAGTAACGTTATCTAACCATGATCAAAATGAAATTGCGACACACTGCAAACTCCGTTTCTTGTATGATGCACATAGAAGCATAAAGCTTCGTTTCTCTTCATGCACATTCGCTGCATGCATGATTCAACCTACCGCCAATTGCATGACCCTGCCTCTTCCAGTGCATGAGACCGCATGAAGTGTCTCATCTCTCGAGTTGAAGCAGTTCATGCAGTTTATGTATTCAACATATTTTAGCCCGAAACTGAAATTATGGGTGGTTCGGTTGGGAGTGTACTCAAAATCAGGGGTAAAAGTAAAGGTTAAAGATACGTAAGTAGGGTGCTTAGAATACTTAAAATTTTTTTTAATTTAACATTTCATATATACATATATTATATAATATATATACAATATAATACTCTGATATTACCGAAAAATTATGCATATACTGACATATTATGAAAATTTCAGTTGAATACCGGTAACATCCAATATTGGTATTTGGATCTCTGTTTTGTGTATACCGCTATAGAATATCGGTTTTTAATGATTTATATAATACTGAAAAATTAATATATTGATATATTATCGCTATTTTTCATATCGTTTTAAATTCCTGAATATAAAATAGTAGATTTTGATAAAGGTTAAGTTTACATTAGTCATATTCTTACAAAATAGGAAAGTAAAAAAAGAGGAAAATAAAAATAACAGATTTTAAGGATGTTTTATATATATAATTATAGCAAAAGTTTCTGAAATTTGATTTTGAATATATACTGTTTTCAAATGATTTGAATAATAAAGATTGTACACAGAATCTTATCATTTATTCATAACTAAAATGCAGAAATATATTTTTGAATTTCTATTACTAATTATTTCTGAAAAAAATGAAAAATTGTTGACAGTGACAGTATCTCAAGTCTAACCTTAAAATCTTTATATTTTAAATTCTTATAACTTCAAGTTGCTTCACAGTGAATTGATTTCGAATTTTGTTATAATTGTTGAATATATGTAAGAATAATCTGTAAAATTTTTGTTAAATTTCTAATATTTTAGAAATAGGTATTAAACATCCTTTTTGGATATTTTGATAAAACGTTTTATTTTTCTTTTCCTGCAGAATAAGATTGTAAATGCTGCTCGAAAAATATAAATCTTCTTTTGTCAAAAAAAATGTAACAGTAATTATTGAATACATTTGTAATTCAGTCAATTTTAAATTGTCGTCCGCTGCATGAATTCATTGCGAATCCGTTCTGTTACTAAAACCGCATAGAATGTATTGGAGAAACGGAATGTTAAGAATCCTGCATTCCATGACATGCACTAAATACTCATGCGCTTTATGCAAGAAACGGAACGCACCGTTGGAGACGTCTCTAAGTCATACAATGTCCCACTTTAAAGACTGTAAATCGACTTTGAGTCAACCATTCTAGGTTGTATCCGATTCGTGCTTACAACGCTCATGAACAGCATTCATCCATGTTTAATTGTAATTAAACAACAAGGACGAAATGATTCCACATTTAAGCTTTGTGAGCGTAAATCGCACTAGATGTCCTAAAGTCGACATTGGAAGAACATCTGTACAAAATCGATTTACAGTCGACTACTAAACGCCCTTAGCAAAGTCAATTTACAATCGACATATCGACATTTGTGCTTATGTGTTAGAATTATTACTAATAGTCTATTTATTACTAGACTTCTAGATTTAAACATTTGACGCTTATAGAATTAGAAGAAAAAAATGAAAACTAATACTTTTAGGCTTTGGAATTAGGCTTTGAAATATTAAGATTTAGAAATTAAGTTTTTCTAGAAATTAGGCTTCGCACTTAAATTAAAACAGCGGCGATTGGTCGATCAACAGGAGGAGCCGACGATTCACGCGTGACTACTCGGAACAATGCGCGTTGTTACTCTCCACTCTCTTACATTTTCGCCTGTGGGCATTCCTAACTCCTCCTTCATTGACCGCACTGGGGAGAAGTGTTAGGTACGTCTCTAGAGGTTTATCATGTATTGTGGAATACACAATTTCTAGGTTGAAATTCTTATTCTCTGTTCCTTTTATTGTGTCCCTTACTATCTACTCCAAATCTGTTCAAAATTATTACTGGACAAAATGAGATTGTTACGAACGTGACAGCAGAATAACGCTGATTGGTTACTTCTATGACGCATTCTCTATTCAGTCGTTTTTCACACCGTGTGATTTCACTCTTAGAATGGCCTCTAGGCATGGCCTCTCTCAGGTTTCTCTAGATTTTAATTGCACCAGACAGGCAGGAACCTAGTTCAACCACAGAAAACAGACCTATAAATAGATATAAACAGACACAAATCACTTTCATAAGCTAACTTACAAAAAAGGAAAGACGGAAGAAATTGGTCTACATTTAATTAAATGCTAAAAGTAGCGTGTTCTTGTATCGTATTACGTCTTCTTCGTATCATTTGATATTTTTATTTAGAGTGACATAATCGATATGTGAAAAAAAATAGCATTTGAAAAAAGACTGTATTTAACATAAAATATTAATATTTGCATCTCAAGAAGATACACAAAAATTGTCTGCGACGTGTGTTTGTTATGCTACGTGGAATACATCGTTGATTTGTTCAGCAATTTATTATTATGTCATAAAAATTATTGAAATAAGGAAACTTTATCTCTCGTATGAATTGATATGAATATATAAAACATGCCTGGAGGCAGACGAAACGCTGTCAATCGAACTGGATCAACTGCCAGATCTGGTAATGGTAACGTTAGTTCAGTCAATACCAATGGAAGAAGCAATAGCGGAGAAAGAGCAAGTGCCAATAGTGCAGATGATAAAAGATTTGACGAAATTTATGGTGGAAGGTCTCTGGCACCAAAGCACATTCCTATACCTGCGGTTCCAGTTGATGGACAATTGGGCTTTGAAGCGTTATCCTTGGTTGTCTCGATTATTGCAGCTTGTCTGCAATTGCTTAATCTATATAGAACTGTATGGTGGCTACCAAATTCCTATAATGGTTATACTATGGTATGTTACATTTGTATTTATTACACATGGAAACTAGATTATGCTATTATGCATGATACAAAGAAGATAGTTATAATATATTTAGGAAACAGAAGAATTGTACTCCTACTTGTATTCTTTGGTATGTTTCAGAATTTTTATTTGATAGATCCTTATTTACTTATATTTATTTTTACTATGGTGGCACATAGATTCCTATACATATTATTACGTCAGATCATTGATGTTTCATTGCCAGTTCAATCAGTACCCGCAAAATTAGCAATTCGAAATATTATAAGGTATTATTGTATGTGATTTATTAATAATTTAGATTTAGTAGTAATCAGGATATTTTAGTATTTATGTAATTTAATTTCAGGTCATCTCTATCAGTTGCTGTAAAGAGCGTGTTGGGCTGGTGCCTGTATCATATGATTGAGAAGCACAATTCTATGAAAATTTTTTATTTATGTTATCCGTGAGTATCTATGAGAATGAATACAATATATAAATAATATTGTTAATATATCGCTGAATTGATAGAAAAGTAACAATCTCACATAAAATTGGACCTTCTCAATAATTTTTTAAATTCTAAATTGGAACATTTCAATTGGGATAATGAATGTGCAATTTTTATAACTTCTTCCCTCATGTTTCATCATTTCAATTATAATATATTCTTTAAAATTTGTCATTGTTTAAATTTAAACATTGTTTTTAAATTCAAATGCTCTAAAAAGATGCAAAACAAAAATTAATATTTTTGAGATGATAAAAGAAAATTGATATTAAAGATTAATATATTTTTAATGGAAACACAGATACATTGTACAGATATACTTTGTGTACATTTCATCTATTGTCACAGAGTTGTGACTTTTAAGTAAACCACAAATCTGTAGTTCCATAAAAATATAAATAAAATATAAATATATTAGTCTTTAAGATAAATTTTCTTTTATTATCTCAAAAATGTTAATTTTTGTCTTGTATCTTTTTTTCTACCAATAGCGATATATATGCATTATATTTATATTATGTAATTCAAAATTAAAAGTAAGTGTGAATAGTTTATGACATCCATTTGTTCCAGAAGTTTGTCAGTATATTTTGTTATGTTTGGAATACGAACAGCACCATTTTTTGATATGTCGTTCTCGAATGGAAAAGAAGAACGAAAAACAAAACATATATTAGGTATGTATCAAATGTGTATTTTGATTGTATTTTGATCTTATCTATTATTAATTTTTTAAGTGTTCTCTAGTATTGTAACATGACTTTTTCATATACAGATAAACCTTTGCACAATTGCTCACTAAATGCATCGGCCATTAGAGCAGAAGTATCCACTTTGAGATCCGATTTTAATAGACGATTAAAGCGAGCTTTATTTTCGTCTTCCGGTAGCGCATATGTTTGTGTAGTTGCGCCTATTATTTTTGTACCTCCGCATTTACATTTTAATGTATTATGGGTAGTACAGCATGTAATCTTGTTCTGGCTCGGAAGGATATGTGCTTACTTCGCTCAAGCTTATCCTTTCAGGTAAGTATTCCTTCGTAGTAAAAATTGTTTTATCACAAAATAATAATTAAAGTATGTAATTGAATTTTAGATATTGTGATGAGTTACATAGGGCAGCGATGCATTTGGGCCGATGGATTAAAATAGAAAATCGCAATAATCACATATATGCCGAACCATGGAATGAAACAGTATTGTGGCCTCACGGATCAATTGTAAGGCACAATCGAGAAATTTATCGTTCTGAAGGTTTATGCACAGCAGCGGAACCGGGTAATCTAAGTCACTCTAGATTTTATGTATGTAATCTTATTCTATCAATGAGTAACAAAAAATATTAAACTCGATATTAATTATATATTAATTATATATTATTGTCTTGCAGGGTTTATTTAATAACAGAGTAACGCTTCTGAGTCCAATACTGGCATTGCAATTATTATTGGTGAACATTCAATTATTTATTTTATTAGGCGTGACCGAATGGTATCAAATACTATCGACGATATTATTATTAGTTATACATTATTATACTTTGTTCAAAATGGCTAGGGATTTTCTAGTATCTTGGAAAGTGTACCGTGCTGAACAAATAATTCAAGAAAAGTCTCAAATGGTTGTGAATCCAATTGCTCAATAAAATACAAGTGTCATTTCTGCAACATTTTTTTATATTATTTTTTATATATATTTTTTCTTGCGAAATAAAATGAAAAAAAATTAATTATTCACACAAGGAAATTTACATCTATAATTTACACAAGTATTAAAAACACGCATACATGTTTTATAGACTTTTATTGAATAAAATAATATAATATATTAAATGCATATTTATTTTAAAGATAATTAAGAATCGAAGATTGAATAATATTCGAAAATATATGTAAAGAATGTACTTGTTAGGAAAAACATTGCTTCTAACATAGAAATATATTCTTGATATATTTTTTTTTGTCTATCAACTAATTAGCTTAGAAAATTTCAATTTTTATAAATGCTCTAAATGATAATTATTATTAGATGTATTAGATAATCAAGCATAGTATTTGAAGATAAAACATATATAATAGCTTTTATGCAATTGTAATTTAATAAGCTTGAAAAAATGAATGCATAATTAATTCTGAAAAAGAGTGCGCGTGAATTCTATATAATCCAACGCAGCTGTTATCGGTCGTTCTGATTTGGGATCTACATAAGGTTTCATACGAGCAACGCAATAATCAGCCATCTCCTTCGTGAGGTTCTGGAAAAAAAAAAAAAAATAATAATGAATACAAATTGTATTTTGATTACAAGAACATTGTAATATATTTTTTAACGGTCTAACTTTTAAGTGCTTGTATAATAATGTTCTATGTGAATTTATATACATATGTAATCCTTTAAACTGCAAGTCGAAATGATTTTTCGGTCTTGAAACGCAAACTAAATTACCATAGTAATTTCATGAGTTAAATTGACTAGCATTTAATAATTTTTCGTTCTAAGATGAAAAAGCATCAAATTGTTAAATTGCCAATCAATTTAACTCGTGATATTATTGCGATAGCTTAGTAGAATTTCAAAACGGAAAAATTATTTCGGCGCGTTAGTTTAAAAAACTACATAATACATAATATAAATTCACATAGAATTATACAAGCACTTAAGATCCAAGTAACTATCAAAATTGATTTATATTGATGTTCTCACATGTATAGTCGGATGAGATTTAATATTTAATATTATATTTTTTAATGTTTTACAGTATTTGCAATACTTACAGCATATAATTCCTCCTTTGTGACATATGGCCGATCTGCTGCTGTGATTGCTCGGAAAGCGTTTTCTATTTCCTCTGAACTTTGCACGTTCTCCGTTTCCTTGCTGATCATAAACGCCATGTATTCTTGTAGAGATACGTAGCCGTCCCTATTAGGATCCACAATATCTACAAATAATAACATATTAAAATGGGTGTTCAAAATAATGTACCACATTAAGAGCCACACTATGAATTGAAATTGACAAAACCTAATATGTTCTCAAATTCTGGATCAGGTTGTCCTTCTTCTATCATAGGAAGGTCGTAGCCCAAAGCTCTCAGGCACGATTTGAATTCTTGGTGATTCAGGCGGCCGCTCTTGTCTTTATCGAAGTGCTTGAACATCATAGAAAATTCTTTGAGTGCATCTTCAGATACACCTGACTGGTTTCGCGCTTGAATCTGTTGTTCCAAATTGTGTTGCATACGCATTCCTAACTGATCCAATTGATCCCATTGCTGTGCCAATCCTACGGTACTGTGTTCTGTATAACGATTATCCAGAATTAGATGTTCCTCTAAAATAGCTCCTAGATCTTCGATTTTCTTCAGATCTTGACGACGTGCACGAACTTCTTGAGTTTTTCGCTGTAAATTTGAATATAAATAACAATTACATAATGAACATATAAACCTTACATAAATTATCTTTATGATAAATGTATCTGTTTCAATTGAACAAACCTTGGTAGCTTCCAGTTGCTGTTCCAAAGATCCGGATCCTTCCATCATAGATGTTCTATAAAATAAAATAAATTATTTACATTTCTATTTCTAATTAAATAACTAAATAAATAAATTTCTTTAAAATGCGAACCTTGTTTCCGCAAGCCATTGATGGAAGGCATTGGCATGCTTGGCGAATTCCTTACGTAATTTATCATTTTCCTCCTGTCGCTGTGCTTCTTTTGCAAGCTCAACATCGCGTTCCTTAATTATCTTTTGTAAGTTCCGCCAAGTATCTTCCAAGGCTTCCATCGTAAACCACGTGTATGGATTTGGTCCGACATTGAAGCTCTTAATTTGTCTATCTAGAGCAGCCAGGGCTTGGAAATCAGCTTCAGCTGAGGATAAGCTTGCTTGAAATTGTGCGTGTGCTTCGCGAAGAGCTCGAATCTCCTCAATACTATTACAACGTACAGGATCCGTTAAATCTTCCTCGGCATTCTCAAACCAAGAGTTGAAAGCGGATGCCTTCTTTGCAAATGTCAGATAAAGCTCTTCAATCTGCCTGAACTGATCCTGCATTCTTAATAAACGTTGTTTTCTCGAGTCGGAATCTGCCAAAAGTTTTTGCCAACGAGCAATGACATCAGCATGACGTTTTTGAATGCTGGGTGTTTGATCGTGACCAGAATCAACAAGCATTTCCTTTAATGAGGTGATATTCTGGATACCTTCGTGTTCAAAGGCATGAAGACCAGCATCAAAAGTCTCCTGTTTCGTAAGCAGAGTTTGCACAGTAGACAGATCCCGACCAAATTCTTCAGAACGCACATGAGTTTCCTTATCAGCAATCCATGACTCGACTACATCAGCCTTCCACATAAACTGCAAGTACGCGGAGTTGTCATTTAGCCGTGTCTTTCTACGGGCCGCGAGAGCTCCGAGTTGCTCCAATTTGTTGCGCAATTGTGCGCATCTTTGACTGATAGCATCTGCTCGATGATTGCCAGCTTTGATCAGCGCTTCGCCCGCTTCACAAATGTCCTTGCAGCGTTCACCGTGTGCTGCAAAGTCAGTTTCAAACGCATCGTGCTTTTTCAAAAGACCTTGTACGGCAGCCATTGTATCACCATAATCTTCAACGGAAAGTAATTGCTGTTTTTCTGTGATCCAGGCTTCTTCTTCTTCGACCTTGGCAAGAAACTGTTGATACGTCAAGGATTCATCCAACTTCTGTCCTCTAGTGGCAGCTAATTGTTTCAGTTCAGCCCATGCCTGATTAAGAAGTTTCAAACGTTGCTCGATTTCGGGTACTCCCAGATTTGAAACGTCCATCAATTTTTCTCCTGCTTCCTGAACAGCTTGGATAGCAGGTTCATGACTACCAAGTTCAGCCTCCAATCTCTTGTGCTTCTTCTTCAAATTCTGTACGCCCGTAAGGTCGCGGCCGTAATCATCCGATCCGACAAGAAGTTTCTTCTCTTTAATCCAAGATTCTTCGTCAGCAATATCGCGGAAAAATTGATGCAAAGTATTAGCTTCATTAAGTCTCGCCTGTCTATGTGCTGCCAAGTTCCTAATTCGCTCATAACGTTCATTTATACTCTGGCGTTTTTCTTGAATACCAGCGGCATCAAACTGACCGCTCTCGATCAATGAATCGGCTTGTGCATTCATATCCTTAATTCTTTCCTCATGCGCCTGTATGTCTGCTTCAACAAGTTGATGTTTTTTCATAAGATTTTGCACAGAGGCTAAATCTTTGCCGGCATCTTCGGATGTAAGCAAACTTTCGACTTCTCCAAGCCAAAAATCAAGATCCTTTACGGCAGCGATATAAGTACGCTGCTTATTGGCTTCCTTCAGCTTCATGGACTTCTCCGTGGTCTTTTGCGTAAGATATTCCCACTGATCAGCAATAGATGCCAATCTTTTTTGAACCGCATCCTCCGACCCGGCACACTGATGCTTTTCGATTAAATTGCCTCCCATAGCAAGTACCGATTGAATTCGATCTGCATTGGCTGCCAATTCGGCTTCAAATGCCTGATGTTTCTGATGCTTTGACTGTATATTGGCGGGATCTTTGTAATTTTCCTCGGTCGCTAACTGAAGTTTCTCAGCAATCCAATTTTCCATCTCGTCAGCATCTCGAGAGAACTGTTGTAGAGTCTGAGATTCGCCTAACTTCGAACGCTTTTCGATAAGAGCGTCCTTCAAATGTCGCCAGCGATCTAACACTTGGCATCTTCTTTCATCGATGGGTTTAGCGGCGTAATGCTCGGCAGCGATTAACTGATCGGCTAGAGTTTGTAAGGTAGCAATTTTCTCTTCGTGAGCGTTGATTGCTTTGTCAAAATCTTCATGTTTCTTGATGAGAGCTTCAACATTGTCACTACTGTCTACTGCGTCCGCACTGCTGAGGAAAGCTTCTCGCGCGCTCATCCAATTCTCCGCTTGCTCGCAATCTCTGCAGAACAATTGCAATTCGAGATTCTGATCGAGCTGCATACGTCGTTGAATCCAAGCTTTTTCTAATTCTTGTCTGGCTTCTGCCATAGATTCAAGTTTCTCCAGTATTTCCACGCTAGCATAATGGCTAGATTGCAATAGTTGTTGGCCGAACAGTTCGAACGCCTGGAAAGTACCTGCTCTAGCATCTATCTCCATCCGGTGCTCCTATAAAAAGAAAATATACAAATAAAATTTACAAAGTGATTTGTCATTCGGTTTTCGAGTATTACACAATTTTGTTTGTTATGTGATTTTAATTAAATTCATTCGGCAATAGACATTATAAGCAGAAAGGTAGTAATTACGCGATATACATACACTACTCAAAAAAAAAAAAAAAGGAACACTTTCGAACACGCTCAAAATTGCGCAATATTCAAAACACTATAACTCGATGAAAAATCATCGCAGACAAAAAAATCAAAAAAGCATTTGAAAGCTTCAAATCTCTACTTTTGAAATCGATAATTGATATTTCAATCTGATTGATCCTTTATGAAACTATACAGACAAAAATGGATACCCGTCAAATCTGAAATTTTTTACAAACTTTTTATAAAGACCTTTTTATAAAGATTTATGACATAAAGTAAAAATTATATAAAAATGCGATTTATAGCAGTCGAAAGAGTGAATCTTTACCTTTAATTTGTTTTTTTATTGATCATTGTATGATGATTTTTTTCACCGATTTATTTGACATTGAAACAGAAGTGATCATTTTTTGCTTCAACGTTCAACAATTCGATGAAAAAAAATCGTACAACACTTAATAAAAAAGCAAATTGAAGATAAAAATTTACTCTTTCAACTATTGCAAACCGCATTTTTTATTTTTACTTTACTATAAACTCATTCTACAATTGTGTAAACGCAGTTGTAAGTGGTTGTAGTTGTATAAGAATTGATTATTCACAATAAATATGCACAATATTGATTAATCACAATCGAATATTTACTTCATATTTGATTGTGATTGATTTATTTTTACAATTACAATCACTTACAACTACGCTTTTGCAATTATAGAATGGATTTTATAGATCTTTATAAAATTTATACAAAATTTTCAGATTTAACGGATATTCATTTGTGTCCGTATAACTCGGTAAAGAATCAATCGGATTAAAACATCAATTACCGAACATCAATTACTTCAAAAGTAGAAATTTCAATCGTTAAAATGATTTTTTAAAAATCTCGTTATGATCATTTAAAATTAGCATAAAAAAGATTAAAATCAAGGTTTATGTATTTCTGTGAAAAATGATTACGAAGCGATATTTGAAATAAGCATTTTAAAGCTTAAAACTAACTTTTGAATGTTTCAAATCATTTTGTATGTAAAAACTTTATTACAAGCAAAAATAATCATTTTTGCTTTAACATTCAATAACTCGGTGAAAAAAATCGTACTACTCAATCAACTCGCTCAATAAAAAAGCAAAAGAGCAAAAGATGAAAAGAAAGATTCACTTTTTCAACTGTTGTACCGTATTTTTGTGTGACCTTACGCTATAAATTTTTGTAAAGTTCATAAAAAATTTTCAGATTTGACGAGTATCCATTTGTGTCCGTATAGCTCGGTAAAGGATCAGTTAGAATGAAATATCAATTACCGATTTCAAAAGTAGAGATTTCAAGTTTTCAAATGTTTTGATTTTTTGTCTACAATGATTTTTCATCGAATTACGGTGTTTTGAATATTGCGCAAATTTGAAGCATGTCGAAAGTGTTCCCTATTTTTTGTTGAATGGTGTATATATATATAAAAGCATTGAAAATACTCAAACTGTTAATAAGCAGTATTTTCATTGCAAAACATCGGCACAAGATCAATTAGCTTTTTTTCATAATAAAAGAAAAAGTTATCAACGAGACGGATAACGCGAAATTAATTTTAGGCACTCTCGGCAATTTCGCCAGGCAATTTCGCGATTCTCTTGCATGCTCAAATGTTCTTATACCTCTGGAAGTAAGCCGTATCGCGCATCTATCTCTGCTCTGTGATTCTATAATTTAAATGATTTGGTGAAGGATTTGTCAAAAAATGATTGTGATAATGACTGTGATCATATTACAATGGAGAATATTTTTACCTGATGACGTTCGAGCAATGCTTCGGCACCTGTGACGTCCGATGCAAGTTCTTCGGAAGCAACCAAGCCCATCATTGAGTTGATCCAAGCCATCAAGTCACGATAATCACTGAGAAAACGTTGCAAATCATATGAATCCAGAAGTTTCTCCTTTCTGCTATTAGCTTTGGCCGTCAATTGAGTCCATTCTTCATTGATCTCCTTCTGTTTAGCGTATGTTTGCTCAGCAGTTTCTGGGTGTGACTGCATTAGGCGATTAGCTGTCTCATCAAGTTGCTTGATCTTGTCTCCCAAAGCTGCCAGATCTCTCTCCAGTCCTTCGTGCTTGCGTTGCAAAGCCTGAACGCTGCGCAAATCTTTGCCAAGGTCATCATTGTTTAATGCCGCATCTTTCTCGCGAATCCAATCCTTCGTTTCATCAACGTCACGATGGAATCGTTGCACCTCGTGAGCAGAACCAAGCTGATTAGCTCGTTCTGCTGTGAGCGTTTGCAAGCTGGTCCATTTCTCGTTCAGATCCTGGATTTGCGTCTGAATCTTCAATGCCGCTTCAGTTTGCCCAAGGCTCATTAGTTGTACGGCGATTTCATTCATCTCAGCCAAACGTACTTCATTCGCCTTAAGATCAGCCTGAAAGTCATCAAACTTCTTCTGCATAACTTCCACTTGTTCTAAATCTTCGCCTACATCCTGCACTTGAGCGTGATTCTCCTTGTCTTTGATCCAAGTAGCTAATTCCGCGGCTTCTCTCACCAATACATAAGCTTTGGCTGTTTCGTTAAGCTTATTTTGACGTTCGCGTGCTAAACGCAAGAGATCATCATATTGCGCTTCGATCTGCGCTTGTCGCGCGGCGATTGAGCTCTGCTCCCTAGCCAAGTTCTGTTGAGATGCACTAAGACCCGCCTCAGGTTCCACACGCTTTACATATGCCGCTGGTACAAAACCTTGACGATCATTTACCTCGACTTTCCACCAATCTTTGTTGTTGGAGTTGAGCAGAGTTAAAGTATCGCCCTTTTTCATGGATACTTCTCTGGGAGACTTCTCAGTGTAGTCATAGAGGGCTACGACACATTCTTTGCCGGTGATGTCGACTGTAGGTGTCTCTTGCTGTCTGCACGCCGCAGCTTGATCTCTCAGCGCTGCGATGGTGCTTGCAAACGCTTCCAGATCGCTGACTAAGGCCTCGTGTTTCTTCAGAAGAGCCTCTGAACTATCCTCGTCCTTGCCGTAATCGCCATTCATCACTATAGGACGTTTCTCCTTCATCCATGATTCAGCTTCATTCGCATCAGCGAAATATTGATGTGCCTGTAAAGAATCATCCAAATCATTCTTACGTTGTCGAGCTTTATCTTTCAGCTGTCCCCAGTGTTCATCTAAAGCTGCCAGTCGCTGATTGATTTCCTCGGCTGCAAAATGTCCCTCTTGCAACATCGTCGAACCTGCTTGGCAAACAGCGGCCACTCTTGGCTCATGATTGTTGATTTCGGCTAGAACAGCTTGATGCTTCTTCTGAAGATTCTGCACGCCAATCAAATCACGACCGCGATTTGTAGATGCCGCAACTGGTTCTTTCTCGCGAATCCATGCTTCCTCGTCCTCGATATCTCGGAACAGTTGTTGCACTTGGAGCGAATCGAGGAGTCGTTGCTTTCTTACACTCATAGGACGCTGCAAGGCAGCGTATCTAGTTTGTAATTGATCCTGCTTAGTTTTGATATTATCAGCATCAAAATGGCCTGACTTAACGAACTGTTCGGCCGCTTGAGCAATACTATCGATCCTATCCGCGTGAGAGCCTACGTCAGCCTCCAGAAGCGCGTGTTTCTTTTGCAAGTTCTGGACGCTGGTCAGATCTTTACCATAATCTTCCGACATGAGCTGCCCTTCTACCTCTGATAGCCACAGTTCGATGTCTTCTACTGTTCGGTTGAATTGTTGCTGCTGGGAGGCTTCTTGTAATTTCGCACCTTTCTTCTCTGTAGCTCGCGTTAAGCTCTCCCATAGTGTCACGATTTCATCCGAGCGGGTGCGTATGCGATCACTAGCATAGTGACCACACTCAATCAACTCCTGGCCAGTAGCTACCATCTCCTCCATCCGCGTTTTATTCGCGTTTAGTTCTTGCTCGAAATTCTGATGTTTTTGGACTTTGCCGTTCAAATTAGTGGGATCCAAGTAACTGTCATCAGTAGCGAACTTAAGCTTCTCATTGACCCAGCCCTTTGTTTCGTCACAATCTCTTTCGAATTGTTGTAGTTTGTATGCATCTTCAAGACGACGACGTCTTTGAGCTGATTTCTCAAGAAGAATAGCTCGTCTTTCTAATAACAGTTGCCGTCGTTGCGCCACGTCATCTGCAGCATAATGCTCGCCCTCGATTAACTTTCCAGCAAAGTCATCAAGCACCTTAATCTTCTCTTCCTGAGCTGCCAGAGATTTATCGAAGTCTTCATGTTTTTTGATAAGTGCCTCCACACTATCAAGGGAATCTCCCAAGTCTTCATTAGCCAAAAAAGCTTCTTGTTTAGCCATCCACGCATCCGCCTGCTCCGTATCCCGGTAGAATAGTTGTAAATCTACACATTGCTCGTACAAGATACGCCTCTTCTCCCACAAACTCAAAAGAGATGACTTGTCATCGGCGAGAGAATTTAATTTTCGTGCCACTTCTTCAGCAGCGTAATGTTTCTTTTCTAGCAGTTTATTACCAGCCAAAGTGGTTGCATCAAAGCTATCGGCTCTGGCATCTATTTCTCCCTTATGTTCCTGATGTCGATCGACCAAGGCTTCAGCGCCGGCCACATCTTTAGCTAGTTCGTCTGCGGAAATGATAGCACGCATATCGTTCATCCAGGATACTAAGTCACGATAATCTGCCAAGAATCGATGTAAATAATAGGATTCATCAAGTTTGAGGCGTCGCTCTTTTGCTTTTGCAGTAAGACTCTCCCACGACTGTAAAATCTCGGCGCGTTTAGCTTGAATCTGTTTAGAATGATCAGCTTCGTGAATCGCAGCGAGACGATCGGCTTCCGCACCCAATGTATATACTTTGTCTTCCAGAGCAGCCAAGTCGCGCTCGATACCTTCGTGTTTTCGTTGCAACGTTTGCACACTGGCAAGATCACGTCCGAAATCATCGGACGATAAGACAACATCCTTCTCTGCGATCCAAGCCATAGTCTCATCAGCATCACGATTGAATCTCTGGATTTCGTGCGCTCCAAAGAGCTTCTCCTGTCGCAATGTGGCTAATTGTTTCAATCTCTGCCAAGATTCGTTAAGCTCTTCCTTCCTACGTAAAATGGTATCGCGTTCGGGATGTCCATCTAATAACAATTTATCCGCCAGCTCGTTCACCTCAGTAACTCTGTATTCTTGACTTGCCATGTCCTTCTGGAATTCGTCAAATTTCCTTTGGAGCACCTCCACATGCTCCAAGTCGTGTCCAAATTCATCGGTCGTTACAAATGCTTCCTTGTCGTGAATCCAAAACATCACTTCATCACAATGACGAATAAATTGTACAAGAACTAAAGCCTGCTGTAGCTTCAAGCCCTTGTCAGCTAATCGGGATAACAACAACTCCCACAGGCGGTGTAACTCCTCTTTAAATAATTAAATATGTTGTATTAAAAAACAATGTTTGTTATATACATATACACTATGTTTTACAATTACATTCATATTTAATATAGTTGAAGTAAAATGAGTTTAAAACAGTCTACATATTTTAAATTTATCTTATAAAAGTAGTTTGATAAGAGAATACTTGTAATCATTATTTATGAACATTAAAACATTCTATACATTCCAAATTATTTTACATCGTTTAAGAAAATAATTCAAGTCACTATATTCGTGAAATA